AGGTCTGTTTGATAGTTGTCAGAAAGTTTGACAATCACATTATTTTTGCAGAATGTAAGGAGAAATCAACAGCCATCTAATGTGCAATTTCAACTTATAGCTTAGCTTTAAGGCATTTCGTGAATGGTAAGTTTGTTACATTAACAGTTATTGAAGATTGGTATTTGTAGTTATGGCAAATGACGTGGATGATGAAAAAGTGGAGATTGAGGAAGAGAAGCAAATTGCATATGGGAAATTAGAATGTTTTAATTAATGTATGTAGAGAGAGTGCAGCACAATGAAATGAGACTATGATTGCATAAGATTTTCTTAGTTGATTTGTAAAATGTGGATGCTTTTTAATTTTTCTATCCCCAGTTTGTTCAGTGTAGGCACACCGTTCCATGAGATCTGCAGAATTTTCACGTCTATCACCTGAATGGTAAGAATTGACATGCATGCCTTCATTAATGAATGTTGCTTTACATTAGACAAATTATATTGTTCTTGTTTGCCTTGTTATCCTCTCATCATACTCTGGTTTCTCTTCCAGTAATTTTTCTTCTTTTATTTAAAAATTTCTTTAGAAAATTAATTGAACTTCACGAGTGTGTTTGACTAGATTCTGCTTTGGTAGGGAATTTCCGTGACTTCTGCACCAATTCTAATTTCTTATTTCCTTTGTTTGAAAATTCCTTTGTGTCATGCTTGATTCCCTGTTTGATCAAATTTTTCTGATTGCTTGCTTTCTTGTCATGTATGTACTTATATATTTTGGAGTAAGTTTTGGAGTCAAAGCCAATATCATTTTGAAATTGAAGAAAAAGAAAGTTGATACTGGAGCTAAATAAGTTTTATATTTATGTTTATAGGGTCTTGGAAGATAATCAGCTTGGAGGACTGCTTCGCTTCATTAGAGTCTTGAAAAATTGAGCAACCTACGGAGATTGTGATTTATTCCTTGTTTTTTTTTTAGTAGTTTTCATTTGTGGTTTTTCAACCGAATAAAGCAACCTGTTAGCCGATTTCAATTTGTAGCTTCTGGGTGTTGTTTGTGATGTTAGCATTTTGTTCTCATCCCTTTGATATTGTCAGTTTGCTTTTATACCATGCTTTGTTGTTTTGTGTTGTTGGATTGCTTTGTCTATTAGTAATGCAAACATGTTTTGTTGTATTGCTTTTCCAAGTATTTCACTCAACTAATTGTAATATATTTTATTTCTCATGCATCTAATTTATTTCTTTCAGGTAGATTGAGGCAACAGAAGCCAGATTTCTTTGGGCATTGCATTCATTACTTTTATATTGACAGCGATGGGTAAAGAGGAGGTTGGACTATGATGTTTGATCAAGAACAAATTTATAGAAATTTTTTGTTAATAGAATTTTAATTTAGAATTCAAAAATTTGTAAGAGAATGCTCTTTTGTATAGGGAGTGCTCAAGTAATTGATTTCTTTCAATTTGTATGATGTTTATGTATAATGTATTGGATTTTAAATTCTATAAATATAATTTTTATTTAATATTATTCTCTTGTTATTATTCAATAATTATATTGTATATCATAATAAATATTAATAGTAAAAAATAAATAGAAACAAATAGTTGAAAATAATTATATATAATTAAATGAAGTCACTTTATTTGACACTTTTTTAACCTTATTTGACGGTTATTGGTGAATAACTGTCAAATAAGGTGATCTTATTTGACAATTATGAGCAAAGAACTGTCAAATAATATCACATTATTTGACAGTTATTGACTAAGAACCGTCAAATAATATCACATTATTTGACAGTTATTGACTAAGAACCGTCAAATATTCCTAGAATATTTGACAGTTCAGAACCGTCAAATATTTGTTTTGTGAATATTTGGCGCCTTCTTATTTGACAGTTTCAAACCGTCAAATATATATAAAAATAACCGTCAAGTATTCTTAATTTTGTAGTAGTGAATAAATGGTTGATTAGGAAATATTCAATCAAGCATTATAGACTTGATTGATTGAAGGGAAATAAATCAGACATTAATTGTCGATTGTGGAATCAGAACATTATTCCATAATAAATGAGGAATATTGCACCTTCCTGAAATAAGGGTCACCCTAACTTTATAAATAGAAGGTGCCTCCACACATTTCTCTTCACTCCGACTATTGAGTTTTTTAGTATTCTCTTCTTCTCTCTGTGATGCATCTACTATGCCATTCTAATCAAAACTCTAGTAGTCAAAATACTACATGAACTATCAACTTCAAGACCCGGAACTGACCAGTACGCTTTTCTCACCCCCCTCTCTCTCTCTACTTATTTCTCTTATTTCCTTCAATTAGGAACAAGGACAAAGGAATTTTGGACATATTTAACAGTTAGTAATGACTTGGATCCACGAGAGTGAGGCTTGCAAACATGATGAGGAACCATAGTTCTGATATGCAGAATCATCCAAAAAAAAAAAAGCAACAAAATTTGATAACGGAACTTGCAAACCCTGTCGCAAAAAAAACCATCCTTGATTGATTAGCAATAGCAGTGAAATTCTGTCATCACTAAACTAATTAGTGACACAAATTTCATCATTTATCTGCTATTTATTTGTAATATAAATTGATTCTTTTCATAAGAATTTCTTTATGAAAGTACCATGATATAATAGATAATTCCTTGGTAATACTGAAAACTCAACCTTTTGTATTTTTACCCTCAATATTAAGAGAAATTAAGCAATCAGAACTAGAATTTATAAAACAATACCCACTATAAAGATGTGACGTGTCTTTCAAAGCCAATGCTGAGGTGGACTAGATAAGCTCGCAAATACCATAATTAACAATAAAATTAAAATCCATACGCTAATACATAGTATCCTATGTTTATATTAAATACTATCTCACGTCACTTTACTAATCTGAATAGACTAAAAAAATTTATTAAATTAATTATCTGTAATAAATAGATATTATTTTTTTAAAATAACCATATATGTTAGTTAGAACTATCACTAATATGTGCAATTATTGTAAAAAATATTTTTAAAAAATAAGAAACAAAATAAATTGGACACTTATATTTAAGATCAAATTATATGTCAAACTAGTTCTTATATTAAATATATTAATTATAAATAAATGCAAAAATATTTACACATGGCCTATATATGATATTGAAACATTGAAACTGGCTGCTGTCTTTCCTGTTGGCTTCCATGTCAATGCAAGCATGCAACCCTGATCCCCGTTGTCCATCCGCTTACTGTTTCCTTCGTACCCACAAGTTTGGTCAACGCACTCTCCAAGTGGGGCTTTTTTTGACATCTTCGCCGTTTACTATCCCTATCATTGGATGTTTTATCCAATGATTAAGATTTAGTATATTATAATATTATTATTATATCAAATAATAAAAATATATATAAATAAATTTAATCTACCCAATTTAAAAGTGCAGACTGAAAAGGACAAAGTAATAAAACAGTCATAAAATATTTTAATAAAAATTTACAAGGGTGATGTATGTAGATTAATTTCTAACATCTTAAATATATGTGTGTTATTAAATTAATAATATAATAATATTGCTATAACATATTAAATCTCCGCTAGTAGATGTTGATCTAATAATAGAAACAGTAAATGGAGAAAAACTTAAGTGGAAACATTTTTCTCTGTTCTTTTTGTTGTTGATGGTGTCAATCAATTTTGACCTTGATTTCTCTAATAAGTATATCTTCTTCAGATTTTTATTTATTTCTATTTTTCTCTACGTAAATGGGAGAAAAAGAATGATATCTTTATTTTAAATTTGAATCTAATTATGAGGCTCATAGCTATGGATAGGGATTAATCTGCAGAGAAGTCATATGTCCAAATTAAAAAAAAAAAAATGTAGTTTTAATCCTTCAACTTCACACAACATTTTATTTTGATATATTATAATTCGATCCTTTTTTCTATTTTTAACTCTTAATGCCATTAACCAACAAAAACTACTTGTATTAAAATTGTAGATGTTGACAATATTATATATCAGATGCTGATGTATAACGTTTAATTGTTAAAATTACAGTGACTATTTCAAGAAAATCAATATCTAAGACTAATGATGTTAAGATTGAATGGCTGAAAAAGATACTTTTTAAAATTAAAAATCCAAACAGAAGTATTATTGTACTACCTCTAGTCCTAAGTATAAAAATTAATTGGGATTTCTAAAAATAATACATTAATCCACTTTGTCTCTTAAATTTATAATATGCTTTTAAAAATATCCCCATTGATCGTAAGATATTTTTACCTAGATGTAATTCCAACGGGCATGATTGAATAAGGTTAATTTAGAGAAATCAACACGCATTTGTTACAAATAACTAAGTTAACTAATTTTTTAATCTCTTAAATTAATTATCTAGTTTTTATATTAAAGACGGGAGGCAATATAAAGTTAGAGTATCAAATGCTAAATTTTGCCACCAAAATTTTACATCATACACAAACACACATGTATAAAAACATTTTCCACCATCATGCATATCGCTGCCCATGGAATGGAATGTGTCAAGGAGCCACTAGATCAGACTTTCAATTCATTGTCATTATAAATTATTGGCCATTTCGTTTTCCTAATTAAGTTTAGTTGGCTGAATAACAATATTAACTATAGATGAGGTAATAATAATAATAATAATAATAATAATAATAATAATAATAATAATAATAATAATAATAATAATAATAATGCTATTGTTATAAATAAGTGGGAAAAGAAAAGGGATTACCTTCCCTTTCACCATGCAAGCAAATTGCAGTAGAGTATTTCTAAGCAATTCAGTTGATGGTATCATAGGCTTAAGAGTCAACTGTTAACAGTGCTAATCCAGCACGAAACGCGAAAATATATCACAGAAATTAAACTAGTATAATTTTCTGGGGCTATTTAAGAGCTAGCCACTCAAATTTTCTCTCCTACCAAACAGTAACCACAAAATTAAACTGCTTTATGCTTAGGAGGAAAAATGAGAGTGAAAAAAGCTTACGCTGTCGTCTTGATTTTATCCCTTCTCATTGTGGATGAATCATCCCCCTTTCTTCTCCGACCAGCTTCAGCTAATCTATTGTCCATTATTCCGTGGGGGTTAAGAATTTTGAGAGCCCTCAGAACACTAAATTTTAGCAAAATTTCCAAAGTATTGGATAAACTGAGATCGTTCTTGAGTTCCAATGGAGGTCGTATTCGAATAGGAAGATTCGTTGCCGGCATATCCAAGATTAAGAACTATTTTAGTTTCTTCGGTTACCTTAATTCCACTTTGGATTCAGACTTCACCGATGAATTCTCCGCCGAGCTCGAATCAACAATCGAACTCTTTCAGAATACTTTCCACCTCAACGTCACCGGCCAACCCGACGACGCCACCGTTTCATTGATCACGCTGCCGCGATGCGCCCTTCCTGATGTTAACATCAATGGCCCCTCCGCTGTGACGGCGGGTCGCACGACGTCGTTTACCAAGTGGTGGCCCGAGGGGAAGAACGAGCTTACTTACGCTTTTTCCCCAGAAAATGAAACGTCGACGTCGGTAAAGGACGTCTTTGCGGATGCCTTCCGCCGGTGGTCCGAGGTGACGAAGTTGAACTTTTCGGAGACGACGTCGTTTAATGAAGCCTCCATTCAAATCATGTTCTCGTCGTTGGACGGGAATCTAGGAGTGGTAGGCGGCGCATGGCCGGATAATACGACGACGAGTTGGGATGTCGTTTTGGATTCCGATGAGAAGTGGGCGTTGCCGAGCGAAGACATGACGGAGAGCGACGAACTCGACCTTGAGTCAGCGGTGATGCACCAGATGGGTCATGTGTTGGGGCTGAGCCACTCGGCGATAGAAGAGGCAATTATGTACCCCTTCATCGTGCCATCGAAGAAAAGGAAGGTGGACTTCGCGAAAGACGACTTGGAGAAGATTCAGCAACTCTACAGTGCGAAATCCAATTCCACTGAGTTATTACAGGGGGAGTCTCCTTCGTCGGACGGTGCAGGATCCGGCAGCGGCATAGGGCCGAGAACGGACGTGGTTTCAGCTACGTGGCTCGGAATTGCATTGCTCTTCCTGTTCTGATGAATGCCAGGGTTCTGAGTTGCTGGTCCAATCAATAAAGTACACGTGTATATAACACTCACGTATATGTTTTTGTGTGTGTTTCCCTAAAATAAAAGGCTACTAGAAAATGGGACTAGCCAGCAAAAGAAAGTCTGTAACTTCATTTGGAAAAAAGAAAGTCTGTAACTTAATCTTGTGACTAAAATATATAGTTGGTTTTTTAACTTTGTATAAATTTTTAATTTCATCTCTTAACTTTAAAAAATATACTTTTAGTCTTTTAATTCTAAAATTATTTTAAAAAATGATAATATTAAAATATTAAATGTTAATAAAATATTCTCAAATACTAACATATTAAGTTTAATTTTTAAAACATCTACAATTGTTAAAAAAATTAAATTATCATTGAAGCCTAATGATTTTTGAGTTAAATAACCAAATGTATACTTTTTAAAGTTAAGAGACCAAATTAAAATTTTGTACAAAATTAAAAGACCAAATATATTTTTTCTTTTAATTTCCTTTTTCCACTTTCAACAAGTATTATAGTTGCTCTTTTTTATTATATTGCCATAGTAGGAAAATATGGATGCAAGGATTCAAGGCTGTGATTGTCAACACCCAATTTTATCTGGATCTATAAAAATTAATAAAAACAAAAATAAAAAATCCTATTTAATTCTTATAATTTTTATTTGGAAAAATTTTGTTTACAATTAATAATAAAAATAAAATTCATTCAAAATTTAAAAAATCGTTGATGGTGATTTGTTACACATTAGGCAAAGTTGCTTGAGTCCTTAAGGACAGAATTAAATAATAAAAATCCCTAATTGATGGTGATTTGTGTTTGATCAAGAAACAATACTTTGCGTCATTATTATGAAAAAAATAAAAAACTCAAATTAAAGTAAAAACTCAAATTGATGATGATTTGGTGTTAGAAGAGAAAATGTCATCATATATGTCATTATTACGAGAAATCAAAAATGAAAAGTTAAAGAAAGATGCATTAATGAGGTGACCTCTAGATGACACTTGTTTAGAGAAGAGGAAGCTGAGATTTTTGAGAGAAAAGAGGTGAGGTAGAAAATTTTTCTTCTATCATCTTTGTTTCATTTCAACAATGATTTGGGAAAGGGTAGGGTTGTCCTAAACAGAGAAAAATTTACTGTCTGGTCTTTTTTATCTTTAATTCTGTGACCCATTCATATTCAATAAGTGCCTAGGTTCTCAGGATTGTGTCCACATACCTGAGCCTCAACACCAACGGTCAGATAGTGTAATTCGATATGAGTTTGGTTACTTGATTTTTTTTTTTAATTTCCTTTCTTTTATTTTTACTTTTCATTCTTTCCTTTGTATTTTTGCCTAATCGTTACACTTTTTGTGCCGGTTGAAATTTACCCCACAGGGAATTTTGTTGCCATGAGACTGTTATAGTTACAGCTACCGTTCACCGGGGCTTCCTATCACCAGGTTTTCATCCCTTTGGGATGATGATGATATGCCCAATGGAATTTGTGTCTTGCATAGACTATAAGATCAAGGGGTGTGCCTCCTTTATTTCTTGGCTTGATATGTGATGTTCAATGTAATCATGGTTTAATTTGCCTTACCTACGTGTCATTTTCATCTCTCTCTCTCTTATGTCATTTTCATCTCTTTCTCCTTTTCATCCAATGTGTGCCATGTGAGTTTTTAAAACCTCCACACATATTTAGATTTATTGGTAGTTATGTGAGATTTTGGAAGTCTCTGCAGGTATAACAATAGGGTTGCTCAAGATTCCTTTTTAAAATATATATATATATAAATTAATAATCCTGACCCAATATTTATAAATGAAAATAAAATAAAAAAGTCTTTTTATTGGGAAAAAAAAAGTCCTGAGACCTTTTCATGTGATGAATGATGTCTTGCTAGCAAAAAAATCTTCGGCGACTAATAGATTTAGCGCCAAAGATTTTATCTATGGGTACAGAGGAATCGTTTAAGAAGCCAACCGGTCACTCTTGGATATGGCAGGGAATACTCAAATCATACTTGACTGATTCATTCCTTCATTGGAAGGTGGGCTCTGGTCATTCTATTCCAATCAACCACACGGTGTGGTGGCCCATGCTGCCTTCTCCACTGCAACACGTTCGTGTGGTGTCTGATTTGATCAAGCATTATAGATTAGCGTGGAATGTGGTATTGATCCATCAATTGTATTCTCCTTCTGGCTCAAGAGAATTTTTTTTTTTTTAACTGAATATCATTACTAGCAACAAATAGCATACAAAAGTTACTCCTCTTGATCAAGATCCATCCCATGAAACATAGGTGAAGATTGATCAAAGATACAAAAATCCACATCCCCATCATTAAATTGGAGGCTTTTGCTAAGTGATCCATTAAAATAAGATTCTCCCTATAACTACGCCTGACTAGAGCCTACCAATCCGTATTAAGAATGAATCTAGTATCCTACACAACATCCCCATAAGGGTGGTCAGCATCACAACCCGGCCTTAAGATATAGAGTAGTTGCCTCGAGACAATCAAAATGCACTTCAATAGTCCTAAACCTCTATTCCAACATAATTGCAAACCACTAATAATCCCAATGAGTTCTGCAATTGCTGAGGGGAACAGAGGTTAATTTACAGCTGAAACCAAAAATCCATCTTCCTTCCTCATCTTTTAGCACTCCACCATAGCCGCTCGTGCCATCTTTAAGCACTAAACCGTTCATGGAATATGGTCTGTAGCATTTTCTTGCATAGTATGGTCAGAATAAAATTTACAATGTTCAATGAGGTCTTCATCCCAACAAGTCCTGTAAAGAGAATCAACAGCATTTGTTGGAACATTTGTTACACTTGTATCGAAGACTTTATTGCATCTTGAAACCCAGCTATCCTAGCAAACATAACCAAAGCAAGCTGCCTATTGAACTTTCTTAGTGCTTTAGGCTCCTGCTTCATTTTTAAGATTCTAATGAATCTAATCAATGCCCTATAAAGAAAAGAAAGATTACCACAAATTTGGAGAAACCACCGATTTCCATCTGCAGACAATATTTGTGTAGTCTCTAATTTTGTGCATCTCTCTTTCTTTATTTTCACAACCAAAAGCACAAGCTACAGAATCTCAAAGACCCCTTCGCTTCGTAAGTTCCACCATGTGGATTCGCTCATGTGCAAAGAGCCACATGAAAGATTTGATCTTTTCAGGGACTCTCCACCTCCAAAGGTTCTTCCAAAAGCTGTCTACCTCCATTCGGATGCCTGCAAAAAGAAAATGGTATGCTGATTTGACAAAAAAGGAACCATTATTAGTGGATGGATCCCATGTATATTTATCCTCTCCTCTCTTCTCATAGGATGAATGTGCACACATGATTCGCTCAATAGTTATATGATGAGGTAACCAGGCATGAAGCTTTTTATAGCTCCAGTTGCCGTAACGATCAACATAGTCAATAACTTTCTCATTGCAATCAATCAAACCTTCTCTTCTGGGGATAAGATCAATAAAAGGCACACTAATCTCTGACCATTTCTCAAACCAGAAAGTAGTATTGCAACCATTCCCCATCTTCTTGCCTACACCTTCTCTTCCCGAGATAAGATCAATAAGAGGCACATTAATTTTAGCTACTACTTCTTCGTGTCTGGATTTGGCTAACAAGATTGAGTGGTAGCCAGATTCGAACGGTAACTAGTCAATGAATGCTACGTATAGAATTGCTTCAAATAACTTTGTTTAGGAAGATCAACCACGGGTGTGGGATGTTTTACGGAAACTAAAGTTTACCCCAAGGTAATTTTAAGAGTGTGGAAGGTACTACCTCTAGTTCTAATTATAATACTTCATTTATAGTTTACAAATGAAATCTTATAATTAGGACCGAAGGTAGTATTATAAGGCCACTCCTACAGGGAAACTGTTGCGAAGCCATCACATAATACAAGGTGCCTTTCTGTGCTGTATATGCGTGGAACATGTGGAAACCTTAGATCATTTGTTTTTAACGTGTCAGTGGGCGAAGCGCTGTGCAAACAAGGTATCAAAATACCACTTATTTTATGTAGAATAATAAAAAGAAGCAAAAAAAATATATATTTGGAAAGAGCTCCAAAATTAAGGGGCAGTTGGGTAAGCAACTGATAAGGGCCAGCTGACACCCCAGCCCATTTTTTCAATGAGGAACCTCCAGCATGCTAATCTTGGTCAAAACTGAATCACAGGGAAATTTTTTTCAACGTAAACCTTCTTATGTTACAAGCTTAGCTTATGATGTTGTAATCTAGTTGTTAGTCGTATGATGGTTGCTGTACTAACTTCGTGTACAACTACTTGTATCATGGCCTAGTTTCTACTGAATTGATCTTTTCATTAAAAAAAAATGGTGTTTTTTTTTGGGCCGTGAGAGATTTTTAAAATTTTAGGAGGCACAAATGATTAACTTGCATGCAAAATTTTGGGAATCTCCGTAAGACGGTTAATCCAAAACCTTTGAAATTTTTCTAAATAAAAACAAAGAGATATTTTTGTAAATTTTTAAAAACGAACCAATAAAGAAACAATTTTCTTAAATAAAGTGACCCCCGCAAGTTTGGTCAACGGAGGCTCCAAATGTGGGCGTTGTTTGGTTGCCGTCAATTAAATTTTGACTTTGATTTCTCTAATAAGTATGGTATCTTAATTTTAAATATGAATACAAATACGAGGCTTAGAGTTTATCTACAAATGATTTGTAGGGATTGATCGATCTACAAAGAGGTCATGTCCATATTTTAAAAAAAAAAGTATACTTATAATTTTATAAAATATTTTTTCAGTCCTTTATTTCTAGCACTGTTAACAAAAAAAATTCTAATATTGCAATTTTACATGTAGACAAATATTATACACCAAATATTGATATATTAACCTTAATTTTCAAAATAAAAATGACTATTTCAAATTAAAAATCAACATTTAAGACTAATGGTATTAAGGTTAAACGATTGAAAAGATACTTTTTCAAATTAAAGAACTAAACTAAAATCTTATATAAAGTTATAGTACCATATGTATAATTTGCCATCAAAACTTAGGTATGCATACACATATATAGACACTCATGCATATATCAAATCACAGCCCATGGAATGGTACTGCGTGTCCAGGAACTGCTAAAACTAAGACTTTCAATTTATTGTCATTATAAAAAATTGATCATTTCGTTTTCCTAATTACGTTGATTTAGTTGAATAACAACATGATAGATATGGTTAGAACAACAATACTTTTATTATATATAAAAATGGATAAAGTAAAAGATTACCTTCCCTTTCACCATGCAAACATATATCAGTAGAGCATTTCCAAGAAGTTCAGTTGATAATATTATATAGGCTTATTAGCTTAGAAGTCAAGAGGGCCATTCCTGCACGAAACGCGTAACTAAATGTCGCGGAAATTAAACTAATCATTTTCCAGGGCTATTTAAGAGCTAACCACTCAAAATCTTCTCCACAGAATTAAACTGTTCAATTCTATACTTAGGAAGAAAAATGAGAGTGAAAAGAGCTTACGTTGTGGTCTTGATTTTATCCCTTCTAATTGTGGATGAATCTTCCCCTTTTCTTCTCCCACCAGCTTCAGCTAATGTACTGGCCATTTTACCGTGGGGGTTAAAAATATTATCCAGAACCCTAAATTTTAGAACTATTTCCAGAGCATTAGATAAACTGAGATCATTCTTGCGTTCCAATGGTGGTCGTCGTCTTCGAATAGGAGACTTCGTCGACGGCATATCAAAGATTAAAGACTATTTTGACCTGTTCGGTTACCTGAATTCCGCTTTGAATTCAAACTCCACCGATGAATTCACCGCCGATCTCGAATCGGCAATCAAATACTTCCAGAAGACGTTCCACCTCAATGTCACCGGCCAACCCGACGACGCCACCGTTTCATTGATCAAGCTGCCGCGATGCGCCCTTCCTGATGTTAACATCAATGGCTCCTCCGCTGTGCTGAAGAAAGAGCTTACTTATGCTTTTTCGCCTGAAAATGAAACGGCGGCGTCGTTTAAGGACGTCTTTGCGGATGCCTTTCGCCGGTGGTCAAGCGTGACGCAGTTGAACTTTTCAGAGACTACGTCGTTTAACGAAGCTGACATTCAAATCATGTTCTCAACGTTGGACGATGAGCTGGGAGTCGTCGGCGGCGTCTGGTTGGATAATACGACGGAGAGGCGGAAGGTCGTTTTGGACTCCGATGAGGAGTGGGTGTTGCCGAGCGAAGACCTGACGGAGGACGACGAACTGGACCTCGAGTCAACGGTGATGCACCAGATCGGTCATGTGTTGGGGCTGAACCATTCGGCGATAGAGGAGGCGATTATGTACCCTTACATCGTGCCATCGCGGAAAAGGAAGGTGGATTTTGCTAAAGATGATTTGGAGAAGATTCAGCAACTCTACAGTTCGAAATAGTTGTTACAGGTGGAGTCTCCGTCGTCGGACGGGGGAGGAGCCGTCAGCGGCATAGGGCCGGGATGGAACCTGGGCTCAACTTTATGGCTTAATATGTGATAGGCTCTAATAAATAACTATTGTTAAAGTATACCCACTCTTCCCTTCAATCTTTAATAAATAAGCTAGTTAATTAATTCATAAAAATTAAAAAAATTAAAAAAGTTAGTTATTTATTAAAAATGAGTATCAATTTGCCTAAAACCTACTTTTTAATTATTTGTGTTGGAATTATCCTTGATAAAAAAAGCCTACTAACATATAAAATCAAAATGGATAGTTTTAAAAATTATATGAGAAAAAATGAATTAAGATATTATATTGGTAAGAAGCAAAGAGGCACAGTAATTATTTTAAAGTTTGTTATATGTTTATTGTCATTAATTATAAATATATCTTTTATTTTTTGAATAGCAAAAAATGATCCATTGTTATTTGCTTTTATGCCGCAGAAGGAATAGGTAATTTTCTACAGCTCTTGGGCGACATTAATGATTAAACTTAAATAACACCCACCTTCCTTGTTTGGATTTTCTTCGGTAGTGTCATTTAATTTTTTGTTTGTTTTATCTGAGGTGTGAACTTCGAAGGCAAGTGGGTTCATAATTCTCAACTCCTTTTAAAAATTATGCGCAACATTTTGTTGACCAAATAAATATGTAACATTTTAGCTGGACGAAAAAATTGGGCCATGATGCGCAACATTTTGTTGACCAATCAATAAAGGACACGAGTACAACACTTAGCGCGGCGTGGGAGTTGTTCACGTGTTAGATTATAATAGCATATACGGTGTCTACTATTATCAATTTAATATGTGATATAGGCTCTAATAAATAATTATTGTTAAGGTGTATCCAGTCATCCCTTCAGTGCTTAATAAATAAGCTACTTAATTAATTCATAAAAATGGGAAAAAAATTATAGAAGTCAGTTACTTGTTAAAAATGAGATTAGTTTGCCTAAAATATACTCTTTAATTATTTGTGTTGGAATTATTCTTGATGAAAAACCCATTAACACATATAATCGATATGGATAGTTTAAAAAAAATTATATATTTAGGAGATATGATGATTAAAATCTTGTATTTAGAATTAAATTAATCTAGCTTCCATATTTTGCGGGAAAAAATTCATGTAAGGGATATACTGTACAATATTGGTATGAAGATAAAGAGGTATTGTAATTATTTTTAATTTTGTTGTATGTTTATTACCATTAACATATCCTTTATTATTTACATAGCAAAAAATGATCCATTATTATTTGCTTTGTTGTTGCAGAAGGAATGGGTACTTTTTCTGTAACACTTGGGCGACATTAAACTTAAATAACACTTACATTCCATGTTTGGATTTTGTTCGGTTGTGTCATTTATTTATTATTATTATTTTTTTTTGGGCTTCATCTTAAGTGTGAACTTTCGTAGGCAAGGGGGTTCATATTTCTTACTACTATGTCATAATAGAAATAGAAATAATATGCATTATGGCGTCAATTCTTCGTCGAACAGATGAAAAAATTTCTATTGTTTGCATTATTTGTAATTATAATATTGCTATTACATTTTTTTAAAATAAAAAGACCAATTATAAATTATAAAATAAAAAAAGTAAAATAAAAAATATAACGCGGAAAAGTTATTGGGCTCATTTCAAGTAAAACACAATACAAATCCATGTAAGCCCAATAATGCAAACAGAGAGCGGATTGTGGAAGTATAACAAAATCTTCTACACCACTAATAGAGTTGGGTCTGGTAGAATGTGTTAATTTCTCACAACTTAATGAATAAAGATTTAAATTCTTGTTAGGAGAGATGTCTATATTTAGTATCCGGAAGTGTTTCAAATAAAATTGTCTCCAAAAAATAATACTTATGCGTACCCAAAATTTGGTGTAGTAGAGCAAGAATTAAACAAGGAGCCTGAAAGGCAATCCATCAAGCACAACACTGCCCATTTTGTGCATATGGGATTGAGCCTTATTAAATTAGCCGAACCGAGTAGCCCAAGGTCATTAAGAGCAGTCATGACGCTGCCCATTCTCTAGTTGTCACTGTTTCGTTGTGTCATATCCAAAAGATACGAGCCCTTTTTAGCCGAAAGCTCGTTGAGGCCCAGCGAAGTAAAGCAAACCTCGTTCTTAGACTTCTATCACCGCGAGTCTCATTAAGACATTGTTTGGTATAAGGGAAATAGATGAGAGCAGAAAAGGGGAAAAAAAATTTAATGAGCTCTATTTAAAAATTGGAGAAGTGAGATTTTGAAATTTTAATAAAAAAAAAAAGTAACATAAAAAAGTAATAAAAATTAATTAAAAGTTTCAAACCCCACTTTTTCAATTTTTTAAACCAAACTTATTAAAATTTTCCGTCCCCCTCTTCCTTTCATTTTTCTTCATAACAAACAGGTCCTAAAAGAATGAAATTGTGGAGTTGCCATATAATCCCCTCGGGACTGAAGAAGCCTGGTGTAGTGCCAAGGGCTTTGTGACTTAATGGCATTAACACTCCCTTATAAGTGCGAGCTCGTAGATTCAATCAGAAAGTTGGCATAGTAAAGCAAGAACCATCTATGTTTATTAGTGGACTCCAGTCCATCATACGCAATGCTTTCTATCTGACACACATTCATCATGCTTTCACACTGTCGTTCATAAACTCAAGTATGATAGGGCAGTAGAAAAATTATCTCGACAATAAAAAACTAACTTCCACTGATTGAAATCAACAACAGGTTACCCAAATAGCAACGTTACCCATCACGTTTGAAACGTCCTACCTTTAACTTCTCAGAGCACGTATTCGTAAGTGTTATGATTCAAACAGATCACGACATAAACCCGTGGATTTAAAATTCCAACATAATTACTAGGGTTACTATTTACTGTTTAACTTCCAGATTATAGGCTCAATTTCAAAAATTCATAACTAATTCGATAAAAATCGTATTGGGGTGTTCTAAATTACTTTAATTCTTTTTATTTCTTTGGCATACATAACATGGGCTTACTTTTTCCCATTTATGCTCATATATTTCTATACATGAAATAAGCATTATAATTAAATACATGGCATCATTGGTATCCACAACATAAATTACATAATAGGAGAATTACACATTGAATAATAATATCATTCATTAATATCAATAACTCTCCACTTTCTTCTCCTTGCTTCTCACGCTATTATTGCCCATTGATGATTGACCTAAATGGTTGGTTAGGAAGGGGGTGAGATTCGGGAAATCTCAGTAGCAAACAATACCATATTAATCATACTAGATGGATTCTAATGCATTACACGCAACTTGTTTATTCTCTTGTTAATTAGTGACATATTAGCATGCTCAAAGCTAACTTCTTGATGCATAGCCATGGAGACATAATCTACTCATCATGAATAGAAATTACAACAGCTAAAACATGTCACATTAACATTCAAATAACATGTACACAGCAACACACAAGCATATAACATCAAGCAATGACAATAGGTAAGTTCACTACCTTACAGCTTAAGCTTTCCTCTTACTTTTCCTTTGACTCCCTTGACTTTCCAACCATGTGGGCATTCGGTTAACATCACCAAATATCCTCTTAGATGTTCCAAAGGTCCTAAACATAATCACAATGATCATCCAATCTATTAGGACCAAGAGACTACATAATATTCAAGACCAGCTCTCTTGAACCTCAACCCTTTCTCTTCATTTTAGGGTTTTCTTTCTAGCTTTTCTAACATAAATCTCATCATTTCCCATCCTTAAGATCCATTTCTTGTGAATTAGGACCACTTTAGATGGCCTTAGATTCAAGAAGATCAAATCTGAAAATTTTGCTTCGCGGGTATTTGTTCACACAGAAATTCCAAAATTTTTGCTCAATTTTGAAAATTCATAATTAATTCTAAAAAAATAAAATTGAGTGGTTCCAAGTCTCACTGAAAGCTCTTTAGGTTGTCTTTAAAGAAAAATACTTTCATGAACCAATTCTATGCTGAACAGTACCATAATTGTACGGAATTCAATACTTTTCCAATGGTTAAACACTGTTTCCAGATTTTAAACCCTAACTTTGAAAAATCACCATAAATCATACACATATCCAAATGAAGTGTTCTACCCATGGATTTAAAACGTACAGAGTGTACTTTAATCATGCCAAATTTCAGAATCAGATATGAAGAGTAACTTATTCAAAATAGGCATCAAATCAGATGCTACAACCATCACATACCTTGACCTTGAAGCTTGAATCTTGTTCCTTCTTCTTGGCCTTTACCCCTACGTTTTTCTCTCTAAATTTTAGCAGAGTTTTCCCTCTACAAATGGCTGCCAAAATGCTCTTTCAAGGTAGGGTATTTATAGCCAAAATTTTGGGTTGAATGGACCAAAATGCCCTTGGTGGCTAATAGAAAGAGTAAAAACAATCTTGAAACTTCAAGTTAACTTTTTCATCATCATTGCATCATCTTCTTGCATCATCCTTACCTCATTCTTCTAGAAGATACCACGTTTCACAAATGTGGTGGAGGAGAAGGGAGATTAAATCCTAGCCGTTAGATCAAAACTTAATCCTTAAGTTTCCTCCGAATTTACTTAGCCCATGTTTCTCTGACTTTCTTTATGGCCTTCCGGAGCTCAGAAAATTCTTCTGTCTACTCCATAAATTCTCTTTAATTCTAGAGAATATCTATAAATTTTCTCAGGCCATAACACTTCCTTTAAACCTTGCATAAAAATTCATTTACTAAAATACCTTTTTTATCGGTATAATCGGCTCTTTAATTTATTAAAGCCACTCCACTGGCCTTTTGGTTGCAGAACTAATTTTATAAATTAGTACAACCTTTCAAAAATTTAATCTCATTTTTTTATACATTTTTGAGGTCTCTTACTATTTTAAATAATTACCTCAAACGGTACACTTTTTACTTGCCATAACCTCATAAATTC